AACAAACTCCGACTTAAAAATCTCCTGCCTTAAGGCTCTGGTTGGGTAAAGGCTAGAGATATTGTCTCAATATAAAAGCTCATTTTGGGCAGAGGTTAACTGCATCCAGCTAGTAGGTGGCCTTCTAGGCAAAGACTTAAGCAGTAGGCAGAATAGTTCTGCTAACCAGCCTCAAATCCCTTCTTCATCTATTAGGCTGGCGTAGATATAAATCTGTGTTATATCGTTTCCTGCCTAGTATGATGAATGCTGGATCTTCTTGATTCCATTCATAGGTTTTTGCTTGTGCTTCCTTAATAGTGACTATGCAACTCTTTCTGTTATCTCTTTATGAGGATACAGCTCTAAAACACAGTTTAATGGTTATGAGGCCAGCTGGTAGTAAAGTTTCCAGTACTCTGTGGTACTTTAAACTCTCAGAAAGAGTGATTCCGTCAACAGCTCAGGGCTGGCAAAAAAACCCAACCCAAAAAAACCCAACCCAAAAAAACCCAAAAAAACCCACCTTAAAAAAACCCAATAAAACCCAAAAAAACCCAAAATATATTTGGGTTTTTTTAAAAATGACCTATTTTACAACTGATAACTCTGATTTTAACACTTATAAATGCTTTATTATCACTAAGTGCAACCTTTATACTGTAATTACTCTTGTAAACACTGTATTTATATACATAATGGTCTTTAGGATATACCCAAAATCGATCAATCTGTTTTTGTAGCAAGTTGGTTATTTATTATTTTTTTAAAACATTTAGCAAGTTATTATAAATGTTATTGAAATATGTATTAAAACATTAAATTAGTTAAATACTTATAAAGGAAATAAAAATCATTCTATTAACTAAATTTCAAGACATTACTAGTTATTTAGTATCTTTATTCTCCTCTCGAATGTCTGTATTCTTTTATATTGGTATTTGATTTTTTATTTTTTAAAGCTTATGTTGTTAACTGCAAAAAAAAAAAAAAATACAAAGCCACAAGCAAAATACTATATATAAAAATTAAACTTTATTTACAGTTTAGAAATGGAAAGTTGTCAGGCAAAATAAAATGCTACAGTTTACTAGATTTGTCCTTCAGTGCATACAACTTTAAAACTTAAAAAAAAATTAAGTTATGTGCAAGCAAGCTTGCAACATGTTTGCTCATTCAATGAGAGAACATGTTGAAAACTTGTATGCATTTCACAAAGACAAGATTTGTCGGTAAAAATGACACTCGTGCTCATCTGTCTTTTGAATATTTAACAGGTTTTGAACATTTTGCATCAGCTACAAGTTTACAACATGTACCACCAACAGGGGTGACTATGAACAGCGGGTTGAAAATTAACATCAGTATCAAGTTGCTAAAAGGTGAAGAAACACACACAATAGAGCTATATAATGTGTTACTTTGATTCAGTTTGCAATTTGCATTGCAAAACTGAGCCGGTAAAACATCTTCAAGGAAAAAAAAAACTTGGTGGCGAAGACACTGTAATGGTTCTTTACAAATTTACTTTATATATATTTAGAAACAAAGTGTAGGCAAAAATTCATTTTTTGCCAGTCCAGTTGATCAGGCCGATAACTTTTCCAAGAAGCTAGACAGTATAATGTTCTGATAAAAAAAAATGTAGTGATTAGGCTAGCAGTTTTCTTCTATGATACAAAAATGTTTAAAAAGTGTTCATAGTCATCCTGATTGATAATAACTTATAAGGTTGCAACATCATGTTGCAAACTTGTTGATTACATGTTGTAAACTTGTGCAAAGTAGTTTTTGAACATGTTAGTAAAAAAAACTAGTTTGCAACATTTATATTGTCTTACCAACTTTGAATAACTCAATTGTCATAATTTTTACACGGATTTTTTTTTTGTCAAAGATGTTCTGAACATGTTTTTAATTTAGAGCAATTAATTAACATCATTTATAGTTGATGGAGTCCCTTTTTGCACTATAGGTAAAATGTGCTAGTAGACTAGTAGTAAAACATTTGGCTCGCAACCAGAAGGTTGGGGTTCAAATTACTTCTGCTGAAATTACTGTCTCAATCTATTTCTCCACACAGCGCCTTTGTTTAAAAATTTTAGTTGTTAATGTTGTTTGTTAGTAAAAATGGTAATGTTAAGGATTGAGACAAAATATTTTTAAAAAATGAGTTGCTCCCTTGACTGAAATGGTCATTGGAGCAATAGGGAGGTGAATTTATGAAATTAAAAAAAAAAATTATTGTACTCATACAATTATAAAAATTTGGTATTTTGATCGATTTTTAAAAAAACCCAAAAAACCCATAAAACCCAAAAAAACCCATTTGAGTTGGGTTTTTTTTTAAAAACCCTGGGTTTTTTCCAACCCTGCAACAGCTGCTAAATATCAGATTATTAACAGTGATATATTAACAGTGCCATGGATGGTGTGCCTATTTCTGCTTTTGGTACACATTGTCTAGGCCATATAAGGATCCCTATGTTACAACTTAGGGTTAATTAACAGGACTGAGATAATTGCATAGCTTACTGCTAAGGAGACTGTGATATATATATGAATGAGTCAAGTTCTCTTTAAACTTAAATCATGTTAAAAGTAACCCAAAATGTTAAACATAAAAAACCATTCCCAACACCTAACTGTTTTATATATCTTTTAGAAATATTCGTTGTCTACGAAGCAACCTTCTATCTATTAAGTCTTACCTCTTGCAAAATTCAACAGACTTGCCTGCTCTTAGTGAGACTAATTTAAATTCTGCTATTCCTTCTTCTATTGTTAGTGTTGATGGGTACTATCTTTCGATTCATAAAGACTTCAATAGTCACATGATTGGCTTGGGGGTATACATATACGTCAATTCACCTATTTTTTATAAAATTATGTTTGAATCCTTAGACCATTCTTTTATGTGCTTCTGCTTAGGACTTTTTTACTCTCACTTTTCACTTTTCAGTTTTTTATCATTTTCTTTCTTCCCAAGAAGACTACACACTTTTAGATAAAATTTCTGATCAAATTAACTATGATCTCTTTTGCTATTCCTCTGTGAATATTGTTTTTATTGGTGACTATAATGATAATCTCACTGAATGGCTCGGCTCTAATGCAACTGATTCTGCTGACACTAAAGTCTATATTGTCTGCATTTCTCAATCTCTAACTTAAGTAGTTAATTTTGTGACTTGTTTTTCCAACAACCCTCACTATTTACTTTCACTCTTTGATTTATATTTTGTTTCTGATCCTAGCTTGTGTTCAGTTTCTTCTTTTTCTCCCTTAGGTGGTTCTGATCATGAAATGATCTCTTTAAATCTTTTATCTCATACCTTTTTTGAACTTATCCTATCATTGCACTACTTACTACTGCCCTAAAGCTGATTAGGACTCTTTTCGTGATTTTCTTTGTGGCGGTCTTTTCTCTTACCTGATAAATGCTTCTCCTATGAGACCTCTTGGATCCAGGCAGGAATGGAAGCTTTTGTTCCTTCTTGTCGGTTCCAAGTCAAGCCACATTCTACACCATGGTATCACCTTTTTGTGCAGCTGCTATATCCAATCATAATTATTTTTGTCATCTTTTTCAAAAGAACAACTCTTGAAAACAAACGACTATTTATTATTGCCAAAAATCGATGTAAAAAGGTGCTGTCTGATTTAAAGCTCTATTATTTTCATTTCATTAAATCTCTTATCTCAGAAGTTAGGCTCTAGAGACTTTAGGAAAATCTTCAGCATTAACAAGGTTAGGTCTAACATTCTATTTCTCATTCAAAGGACTGATCATAGGTTAAAGCAAAAATTTTTGTAAATAATTTTTTTTCTAATTTAACTCTAGATTCTTATGGCCATTCTCTTCCTTTTGAACATTTCATTCCAATTAAACAGGTTAACCCATTGTTAGCCATTCCAATCACTCCAGCTTCCATTGCTTAAGTCTTATCTCAATTAAACTCTTCTGTGGCTTGTGGTCCAGACAACACCCAAATATTGGCAGCACCCAAATATAGTTGAGGCTGTCAAAAATGATCTAGAATAGCCCCTATAGAATAGCCATCTAAAGTAGCTCTTATATAGAATAGCCATCTAAAGTAGCTCTTTTTGCTGATGAACAACTCAACTTTATACTCCTGTCTTGACAAAAAGTCTTCTCTTTTTGATTGTTCAGAACAAGCAGCCAATCTTGAATCCGATCTCACTTCTGTAACAGTTGCATTGGGGCTTGCAGTGGCTTCTAAATTTAAAATCCAACAAAACTCAGTTATTTACTGCAAACAACTATTGCAATATGTTAGACATTCATATGTTTATGAATGGTACCCCTCTCACTGAGTCCTTTTCTTTGAGTCCACTCTTCTTTATGTCTTCTTGGATTATTTTTAACTACCAACCTTTCATGGAAACCATATATATAATCAATTGCTGAATTAGCATCAGCTAAAGTTGCTTCACTTTATATTATGGTGCTATCTCTACTAGACAAGGTTCAAAAAGCCGTAAAAAAAGTTGGATCCACTTATCTGCTAGGCTTGAGTCTCCCATCATTGTTAAGTTGCATCTCTTTCTCTATTCTATAATGACTATCATGGTTGCTGCTCAAAGGCGATATCATCTATGGTTTTAGAAAACTCATTCTCGCATGTCTCGTCATTCAGAGTCTCATTTGTTTACTTTATCTGTCTCTGCATGATCTAAAAACTTTTATTTGTTTTTCTCCTATACTTCAACCCTTTAGAACTCTCTCCCATCTTCATGTTTTCCTGACTCAAACAACCTACAACTTTTCAAATCTTCTGTCAAACGTCAAACCTTTCCTTGCTCTTTAATATTGTTTATTGTTTTCTAGTAACTCCCAACATAATAGTTATTGCTTGCAGCCTTGTTTGGAGTAAATCAGAATAATAATAAAAAAAGTTCTTACTTTTTTTGGAACTTAAAGCTTTTTTGAATTTAATAAAAGTGGCTTCTCCTTAACAACTTTTGTGTATATTTAAATAACATTGTTGCTTTATTAGGATCAAGGATGCCTGGCTGGACTAGTTTTATTTATGGATAATAATGACCCAGAAGTGATTAAGTTAGTATTGCAGGTAATTTTTATATTAATTTTTTTTTTTTACTTGTAAGCACCATTAAAAGTTCAAAAAAATATGCATTAATATTTTTTTGTTAAAAGCTTAAGTTTTTTTATAAGAAAATATCAAACTAATTTCTGAACTTGAAAACTAATCAACAGTTTAATTAAAAACTGAAAATTAAATATACTTTTATGTACTGCTACTTGTAAATAAGTAACATATTATCAAAATTTTTTTTGCACTAGTATGGAAAACAGAACAAATTAAATCCAGATGTACAACTTTTATACATTTTTTATTGCAAAGTAACATGGTGTATGCCTATACAATAATTTTTAAATAATCAAGAAGTTTTTTCTAAATACACATATTTTTTAATTGTAGGTTTTTAGGTCTTTTTTTAATCAGGTCTTTTTGATTTTAAAGTTATTTTTACTTTTTTTAGCCACTCTTTTGTTTCTTTGACATAAATGAAAATCGTTAATTGTTTTTCTAAAACAATAAAAAATTCAAAAAATAAGGGGTAATAATAATTATATATATATATATATATATATATATATATATATATATATATATATATATATATATATATATATATATATATATATATATATATATATATATATATATATATATATATATATATGTATATATATATGTATATATATATGTATATATATATATATATATATATATATATATATATATATATATATATATATATATATATATATATATATATATATATAAGCTAAATTAGAATAAAAGCTAAATTAGAAAAAAAGTAAATAAACAACTAAAAAAGTAAACCAATCACGAAAATATATGTTTTAAGAAAAAACTAATCGCGAAAGTATAAAAAGCAATCGCGATACGCCTAATTTGAGCCCTGTATATATATATATATATATATATATATATATATATATATATATATATATATATATATATATATATATATATATATATATATATATATATATATATATAATATTTTTATATGATAGTATCTTTTGAATGCCAAAATTAAATTTAATAAAGATTTAAAATCTATTAATAAATTATGATCCAATTTAAAAGGTATAGAAAATTACAAAAAAAATTATTTTTGTCAATCAGGAATTCACTTTAGTGCTTTTTTTTTGTATTTTTGTTTTAATTCTTAAATCACCTGAGATGTGCCTCAAATCAAAGTTTATTATTTAGAGGCTTATTGCAAAAGATACAAAGCTTATTGCAAGAATAAGTAAAAATTTAGACGTATTAGTCTCAATATATTATAATTGTTTAATAATTGGTTTAAATTTTTAAATAATTGGTTTTATATGCGGTAGTGGTGTAGTGGTAAAACACTTGCTTTATAAGCGAGAGGTTCTGAGTTCGATCCCCACCACGTCCCTGGTAGTACCGCGCTCAACTTGTTTCTCCGTGCAGCGGCCTTGTTCGCCAAGTTTCGTGTTTCAGAGTTATAGAGTTGAGAGAGGGTTATAACCACTATTAAGTAGCCTCCTCGTCTGTAGTAGCCTTTTCAGCCTGTGAATAACAAAAAAAAAAAAAAAAAAAAGAAATTAAGATATTATCTTATTAACATATAAAATTAAAATAATCTTATATAGAATGCATCTTTCTTTTTTTTTTTTCATGTATTGATAAAGTCAAAAATAGTTTCTTATTAAAAAACAATAGTTTATACTATATAAAGATATATTTATATATACAAGCTTTCTGGAAAGCGTTGTATATATAAATAAAAAAAAAAATTGAATATTAAAAAAAAGAAAATTATTGTCAAAAAAAATATACCTTTATATTTTACTGGTCTTGTTTTCTTATTTTTAGGGCATCTGTTATTTTCCGCTAGCAAAATTAATACAACTCAAAGAAAAAAGTAGATAAGAATATAACAAAAATAAAATTATTTTTTGATATACAAATTTTTCTTGACTTTTTTCAGTCAGTATGTTAAGGAAATACTTTATAATTTGCATTAGAAACACTGACAAATTTTAAATTTGTTTTTCAAATGTTTTTACTAAATTTTACTGTTTTTATCAATGCACAGGAAAGCAAGAACACTAATTGCTATTTATTTGTAAAAAAAAAAAAAAAAATTAACAAGTTTTTCATGTAAAAATTTATTTCCTGATGAACTTTTGTTATTGACGATGCTCCAAAAGCTTGTGGGCTAGTGCTTGTTACTTTGTTTAACCTTTTTTAACAAAATGTTTAGGAGCCGATATAAAAACTTTTTTTAAAGTTCTTAAATGCATTTTTTTTAAATAGAGCAATCATTATGTTCATTATCTCTAGTATTTCGTATCAACATTTGAAATTGGGCATTATAAACAAAAAAATTTTAGACATGCATTAAATGTTACCACATTTGATACATGTCATACATTTATTAAAAAAACCATGTTATTCTTTTATTTAACTTCCGTCATTACAAAAATTATTAATCAAATATTATATTTTACAAATGAATAACAATATATTTTCTTATTTTTCTATTATATAAGTATTAAGAAAAAATCATCAAATATAGCAAAAACATTTTTAAAAGCGAAAAGGCGTACAAATTTAATAAACATAAGCAAAATAAATTAACAAAATTTCTCATAGTTCTAGCGTACATAGAAAATTAGTTTGAATTGTTGCTAAATCGTTAAATTTTCTTATATGGACTAATAAAAATTGTGAATAAATTACATATCAAAACTTTCAATTGTTGTTAAATTGTTATATAACGTTTTTTTTAACAACTCAAAATTTGTAGAAAAATTTTATTTAAAAAATAATAATAATTTACTTTTTTTAATTATTAAATTTTCTAGTTTATTTAATTCTGTACCTCAGAAGTCAAAGGTTGGTTGTCACATTTTAGAAACTGTTCAGGAGGGAGGAAATATAAAAAAAATAAGTCTTTATTGGCTTATTCTTAATGGTTAAATTTATTTAATTTTTTTTGTGTTTTATTTAATTTGTCTTAAGACACATGAAATATAATTTTGACAAAAGTTATAAAAATTATAAAAGTTGTTTCTGGACAACAAACCTTTTTTCTTCGAACATTGTGGGGACACCAGACTTTTTATATTGACCTAAATTTATTTCATGTTGTCGTAGGGCAACAGTCTTTATACCTCAGTGTAGATACTGAAAAAACTAAAAAGGTCTTATACATAACTCATTTTCACAAAAAACTGGACAACCGACCTTTGTCGTCTGAGTTACAGAATTAAACTTGATATTTCGTTATAATTTTGTTTCCTTTTTTTAAGATTTTTTTTTTTCTTTCAACGCTTTTTTTAAAACATTTTAGCAACATCAACAATTAAGCTACATTTCGTTGTCGTTTAAAAGATAAAATAATTAGAAAGACGCAATAATTATGACTTGAAAGTTTGTTTTATTTAATGGTGTTTTTGTTTTTTGTTTTTTTATTGTTTTATAATATTTTTTAAACATGCGAGGAGTGTTGCTACATCGTCTGACAAATTGGTAAAACATGTGAGGAGTGTTGCTTTTTTAAAGTAAAACATATGCGGAGTGCTGCTACATTGACTATCTTATAACCTGCTGCCACTAGGGAGTGCTACTTCTTTTACTATCATATATCCTGCGCTACAAGGAAGTGCCACTACAGAGGGTTTGGTTTGGGCAAGCAATCCATCAATGAAAAAATTCAAACCTTCAAAAACTTTCAAATCAGAAAAAGTTTTCAAACTTTTTCTGGTTATTAGCATTCGATTTAAAACAACAGTTTATGGAAGAAACTTTTCGACTACCATGCAGAACTATATATATATATATATATATATATATATATATATATATATATATATATATATATATATATATATATATATATATATATATATATATATATACATATATACATGTGTTAAAAATCGTATTGTAAAACCATAACTGAGAACTTTGATAATGTTATATTACATTTTTGTATCATAATTTACATGGTTTTAAATAACCATTTATACTTTTTTTGTATAAAAATTGTGTAAAATTGGGTTGTTTGATTTGTTGTTTTTTAATATTGGATTCTTTGTTATCATCTTTACCATTATGCTTGTAAAACTTCAAGTAAAAACTATGAAATTCAGCATATAAGAATATCAATATGTGCTAAATACACATACCAAATGATTTTTTTTTTCACCATGTCATTAGTTGCATATAGTCTGACAAAGTTGTTTTGTTCAAAAGTGGTAAAAAATAAATATTACGCCCATTAAGCTACATAGAATTAATTTTTGAAAAAAGTTTAAGACTTAAATGCTGTAACTTTTGCATACTAAATTATATGATAGTATTTCACATAGGAGAGACGTGGAGAGTACACGCGAGAGTGGCTGTCATAACAAATGTTACAACAGCCACTCTCGCGGTATTGCCCACATATATACACTATATTTGTCACATTCTTTGGCAACTGTTGGAAACTATATCATATTTCTGCCAGATTCACTAGCTCTGAGTGTCATTTATAAATTCCTCACCAGACTTAATTTCTGCATCTATATCAGAAGTGATATTAACTGATGCTTCCAGACTGCTTTTGCTAAATGAAAAAAAATCAGTATTTCTGTCTCTTTGTGCTTATTTTGAATACTTTGGTTAATATAAAAGTACTCTCCTTATTGAAAAGACCAATAAACATATTTCTTTCATTTCTTTGATCCATTAAAAACTCATGCTCAAGTACTGGCACTTTTTCTTGGGCATGTGCAATCACTTAAATTAAGCTAATGACATGCTGCAATGTCAAACAAAATTAAACTTTCCATCTTAGCAATTTATACTGCTGTAGTTTTAAAAGAAAATGATTTGAGAATGATTCCACTTTCTTCTGCACTCTTTGCATTGTAACATTTGGAATACCAGATTTCAACCAAATCCTGGTAACATTTTCAGAAATTCTAAAAACTATTGTGCTTGACTTGGTAGTCCTAGGATGTTTTGAGAGTAGTAAGTTCACATTTGATGCC